CAGCCCCAGCCCCACTCCCTCTCTTACCACAGGAGCCCACGCCTCATCCCTCCCCTCTCCCCTTCCACCACAACAGACTTATCAGCTGCACACAGCTCTCCGCGCTGCCAGGATGTGCTCGCTGCCTGTGTGCTGTGCTGCACGCATGCACAGGCATTTATCAGCTAAATTATTGGCCACATCAGGCTGATTTGCAATGCAGCCAATTTTCTTTATATTGGTGCTGATCCAATATTGGACTGATTGTATCAGTGCACCTGTAATATTAAGTTCAACTTGGCTAGTTGGGATAATTGTACTTCTTCTTTGGCAGTCTCTTCCAGTCAAGGATGATTGTCTTCCATGATTGCCTTATCTGTGGGTCCGTAGATGGCTGATGAGGCCAATGCTGGCTGGACAGACTCTGTTGCAACTTGGGCATGTGTTTCTATGTGGGGTGGGTGGCTCCAGATTCTTGATTCAGACCATGACAGTACAATGAACATGTGGCAGGATGGCTTCAGCTTGATCCAGCTTCCTGCAGAAAACTGGGTTCCTGCAGGACTTATACAATCACTGTGTGTTCACTGCATCATTAGCTAAGTTAGCTGGATAAAAGCTACTTCAGGGTGTCTACCTATGCTCTCCTCTCATCTTAATTTGTAGTGTGGGCATAGCCACAGTGGGACATTTATAGCCATGTCACCAATCCTAGTTCAATCAAGGTGTCTCTTCACTTGTTGGAAATGAAATGTAAGAATGACAAATAGCACACAGAGCTGTATTATGCCCTATCGCTTCCAAAGTATACTTGCTCTGTTAACTTGTAAAAACATTATTTTCATGCATAATTTAAAATCTCCAGACGTGAACAGCTTCTGGCAACCTGGTTATTGAGTATGATTCTAAATAATGCATTGGGGGGAATGATTGCATTTTTTCATTCACTGCTTGTACAAAATATTGGGTGTTTTTACCAAAGAAATATCCTCAAAATGTCCTGTTTAATTAATCCAGATTCTTCAACAGAGCACTGAGTTTAAATGCAGTATGCACTGGAAGGATTAATATAGTTTAATTGGAACCTTGGGATATGGTCCCAAGCCTGGAGCCAGACTCAGCCACAGCATCAAGCCAGAGGCGCAGGGTATTTGCTGGTGATGTACATCAGAGCTGATCACTGTTTTCCAGCTTTCTGGGCTGCCACAGTCAGAACTTTAAAGCAAACTACAGGCATTCCCATCCA